TACTATGAAAACATTAGTAGTTAGTAGTTAAAAAATCTGATCTAAATGATTATTATAATGTTGTAAAAGGAAGTTACAGTTTTACAAAAGTTAATTTATAATAAAATTCATTTTTTAGTTATAGCTGTTATCATTCTTGATTTCGTCATAATAATGCCGACTTATCGAATTTGATAATGTAATTTTTAATCAGGTGTCCCAATTAGGGTTGTAAAATTACAGTAATTTTGCGTAATTTTACGTAATTTTATGTAAGTTTCGGAAATCAAAATTACATGTAATTTTGATTACAGGATTATTTAAAGTTTATTAAATTTGGTTGTTCGTTTGATTTATGTAATTTAATCACGTGATATATGTAAAGTTTATTAGAGTATTCGTTCGTTTAATTCAATATTGTTATGTAAACTGTTTTTTCAATAAAGTTTTTTTATAAACTAAAATGGTTCAAATCAAAAAAACTGAAATGTGGGACGAATATGTTGTGCGAATTGATGAAAAAGGGAAAGAACGTTACAAGTGTAAGGCATGTAATAAGGAATGGGCAAAGAATGCAACTCGATTACAAGAGCATTTGAATGCATGTGTTTTACGAAATTCAACATTAGATAAAGATTCCAATACAAATAAAAAGAGAAAACAAATATCAGATAATTTTACTCAACAAGATCAAAACGAATTGGAATCTTTACTTGCCTGTGCCTTTTTTACTTCAGGAATATCATTTAATACAATAGAAAATGCTGATTTTCAGGCTTTTCTTTAAAAAGCTTATCTTTCTTTTAAGATTCCATCCCATTATACACTTTCCAATTTACTTCTAAATAAAGAATATACTGACTTACAAGCTGTTGTCTAAAATACTCTTGACGAAACTCCTTATTATTGTTTAGTTAGTGATGGTTAGTCTAATGTCAATAAATCATCTGTAATTAATTATATGATAATTACACCTGCACCTATTTTCTATAAATATATTCATACTAAAGAAGAGCACCATACTACAGAGAATATTGTCAAAGGGATCGATGAAGTAATGCAAGAAATTGAAATAAATAAATTTGTTAGTATCATTACGAACAATGCAAATAATATAAAAGCAGCATAGAGTATTCTAAAAGCTAAATATCCTGATAAAATCTTTCTTGGTTGTTGGGCACACAGGATCAATTTTTGGGTTAAGAATATTCTCAAAAATAAATGGGTAATACGAATCTTAAAAAAAACTAAAAAATTAGTCTTATTTTTTTGTAACTATCTAATTCTACTAGCTATTCTGCACTGTCTGCAAAAAGAAATCTATAATCTTGAAATCGCACTTACCTTAACAGTTGATACTAGATAGACATTAGCTTTTGAATGTCTTGATCATGTTTTACAAGCTTGATCTGTGATATATGTTGTGTTGGGTGAAGATAGTATTGAAATAAATAATAATATTAAAGAAACTATTTTGGATCATAAATTCTGGGTTGATCTTAAAAAACTACATGATTTTTTAGAACTTTTTATTGTTTTTATTCGTCAATTAGAAAGTAATAAACCATATCTTTCTTCCACATATAAAACCTTACAGGATTTAAAAAATTCGATTATGAATAATTCACAAATTTTAGAAAAACTACGTGATGATACTTTACTTGCAGCTAAACATTGATAGATTAATTTTCTATATAATCCAACTATCATTATTGCATATACTCTTGATCCAAGATATCAGAGTGAAGACCTTAATTTTGGAACTTGAGCAGATATAATTAATTCTGAAGTAATTCGTATTGCAGGTACTGATAATAAAGACAAAACATTAAGTAAATTAACTGAATATCTTAGAAAATTAGGAGGTTTTGCAAAAAAATATTTGTGGGATAACCTTACCTCGAAACTACTTAACTGGTAGAATTTAATAAATAAACAATATCCTATTTTAAGTTCAGTTGCACTAAAAATCTTGTCAATTTTAGCAACCTCAGCAGCTAGTGAATGTAATTGGTCTGCTTATGGGTTTATTCATTCAAAATTACGTAATCGCATGCTTACTGAAAAAGCTGAAAAACTTGTTTTTATATATTGGAATATACGAATTCTTCATCAATTAAAAAGATCTATATTAGTTAGAGATATACATGTTGCAGAAAAAACTTGTAGTGTTACCTTAAATAATCAAGAGCAAAGTGGTGATCTAGATAATAATGATATAAATGAAGATAATTTTACTAATTTTTCTAACAGACTTCTTAATATGCTCAACGATAGTAGGTATGAATTTGATAACGATAATTATATCGAAGAATAAAATCTGCATGTAATTCAGTAATTGTAATTAATAATAATACCAGCCAAAACTACATAATTCTGGCTTTATATATCACATGATCAAAATTACATGTAATTTAAATTACTGAAACTTACGCAAAATTACATGAAATGTAAAAATGTAATTTTCGTAACACAACCCTAGTCCCAATTAGAATGATAACAGCTGTAAAATTTCAAATGTAATCGGCCGGAGCATAGCGAAGGACACATACTTCTACATTCCAATGTTCGTCTGTCCGCACGCAATAGATTTGTGTAGTGACGATCTTGATCATCTCATAATATTTAACGATTTGCTGTCACAAGAATGGGTCTAGTGCCAATGGATGATCTACAAAATCAGCGATGTTCGTATTATATATTACCGTTACTGTTTATAGTTGCCACATGAAATTGACAATATTATATAGTACGTATATAAAATAATCTACACGGAAAATACCGAGAAGAACAAAATAAAATCTTGACAAATTTGGCTATAATTAAAGTTAATTCTGGCCAAATTTGTCAAGATTTTGTCCTGTCAATTTTATTCACTATTAAACTTTTGACATTGACGTTAACAGGACAAAATCTTGACAAATTTGATTAGAATTTACTTTAACGTTAATTATAGCCAAATTTGTCAAGATTTTATCATGTTCTTCTCGGGTAGATTATTATTAATTCTTTCATATATGAGTGTCGCCAAATGAAAACATGCAATTGCAAAAAGTAGATTTATTATAATTTCATAATAAATCTACTTTTTGAAATTGCATGTTTTCATTCATATAATATTGTCACGTCTCTAAGTATGGTTTTTTTTGTAATTAGTATAATCTAATTTGGATTTGATTAAATTTTAATACTATATCCAATTAAATAATCTAAATTTAAATTTTTTTTTTTTTTGGAAAATTAGACGTTTAACAATTGCTAAATCAATCTGATACA